GTGTGTGTGTTTATATGTGTCTGGGTTGTATGCGTGTGTGTTTGAGAGCGCATGTCTGTGTGGGTGACTGAGTGTATGAATGAATGTATGTATGTATGTACGTATGTATGTGTGTGTATGTGTGTGTATGTGTGTGTATGTGTGTGTGTGTATGTGTGTGTATGTGTGTGTGTGTGTGTGTGTGTGTGTGTGTGTGTGTGTGTGTGTGTGTGTGTGTGTGTGTGTGTGTGTGTGTGTGTGTGTGCGTGCGTGCGTGCGTGCATGTTCGTATGTACGTGGATGTGTGTGTGTATTGGGTGCCTATGTGTGAGTGAATCGGTTTGCGTGTGTATGTGGGTGTGTGTTTTACCACCCCTGCTTTTGTTTTTGACTTGATATTCATAGTATGCATATTATTACATGAACATAACATGCTTTATTAATGAAATACAACGGCTGTGTGAAAGATGAGAGTTTGGAAGGGCCGAATGTAAGACAGGCCTGCGTGCCTAATTTGTAACCCTTAGAAAATAAGTTTGTTCGTTCGTTCGTCCTCTATGTCCATTTCCTAACTCAAAGCTAAAAAAAGTCTCAATAATATTATTTGTTTTTTCCCCCCATATGGGATCCAGGACCCCTTTGTGGGGAAAACAAGAATAGAGCCACTGCCTCCCCAGAAAGCATGTCGTAGGAGTTGACTAACTGGGAACTACCTTCAAAGTCATGTTGCATCTGCTGGAGTGACTAGGAACAATCAGCTGCACACAGATAAGCTAGTAAAAGAATGTACGTGCAAAACCTCAGGCCCTGCCACAACACCAAAGCCTGAATAGATGAACAGCCAGGACCTTCCACTGGAGCTTACAGTCAGTAAACAAAGAAGAAGATTATTTGTTTCATGTAATGTCTTGACCCACTACCCATATATCATACCAAAAAAAGGGAATTCAACATTAAAGGGAATCTTAATTCAGAATCACTAGCTAACAGTTACTAGCAGCTTTACTACAGCAGCTTTTTTCTAAAGAGAAATATGTTTTTTTCACCAGGACAGATTTTATGCCAGAGAAAGGCTAAATTAAGATCTCTTGAAAACCTATACAATTTTGATGTTTTTAAGCACCTGTAATTTAAAAATTTCATCACCTTTCTTTTTTGTTTTTCTGCCTTTATTCCTCAGTTAAGCGTAATCCCTTAACCAACTTGCATCACTTAATCATATCCTTGTACTGCATGCAGCTCTCACTATGTCAGCCCAATCTTTTCCATCTCATTCTTGAATTCTCTTCTCCACAAAGTATTCTGATTTTCTTTTATTCCACTAAACCTGTGGGTATCAGTGCAAGGACATTTTAGTTATACTGTTATCTTCTCCATGTGGGTTCTGGGACCCTTATGGGGGAGGGGGGGAGGGGGGGGGAGAAGAAGAAATCTACTGCCTCCTCAACTCCTAGAGTCCCAAGTAACACATAATACATTCATAGATTCCTACCTAGAAGCCCAATGAACGCAAGATGCACCGATTTTACGTCTCTCTTGACTACTCCTTGGGCCTGTGATACTAAACCCCCTAGGACTTAAAGAGTTATTAAGCATGTTATAAAAGTCTACGAATCAGAGGTGTTTCCTTCAGTCAGAGTACATTTGACTGAAAAGTGACGAACCAAACGTAAACATACAAATAAGACAGATCAGGCAAATGGATGAGTAAGCAAAACTCAAGCACTAGAACAAGGCTAAAGTCCAGAAGTGATATGAACAATCAGAACCTGCCGCCGGTGTTTACAGCTAGTGAACTCAAAGAAAAAGATATGGTTATCAAGTTTTCTCAATGTGTCCCATCTAATGGCAGTACAATATTTTGGCTTTTTTATTCAGTAGAATTTGTTTTCTTCTTTCTCTCTAGTTTCCACATTAGTGATTTTATCATACCATTTAATTAATGAATGTTTATAGTTTATTAGCAATTATTTTTGTCATTCTCCATGTTTCAGTTCCATACATCCATAATGATTGACATTACAGCTAAATACTGTAAGCTGGGCTTTTGGTTTGGCTTCCTCAACCCTCCCCCCCCCCCCCCCCACGCACACACACACGCACGCACGCACACACACACACACACACACACACTTAAGCCACAAAACCCAGCCGACTATGGTCAAGTTAAATAAAGTTTTAAAATATCAACAGTAAAGAAACAAATAAAAAAATAACTATTTAAATAAAATTTCAATAAAATTTATAGTTAAATAGAAAATAATGTTAGTGTATTTTTTCACTGGATTTCTGGATTTAGAGTGTTGAGTATAAAAGTTAATTTTAAAGCAAGGCACATTAAACACTATTAAATCCCCCATAACAGCCTTTCATATTTTGTCAATAGAAGTTTAGTTTCCATAAGACCCCTATAAGACAGGCTGTGTGTATCTATAACATTCAGCCTGTTACACTTTTGAGTGTTACTTTAAACTTGATGACTCCATAAAAAAAAGTGCCAGGAAGCAGACAATTTTTATTTTAGACAACATAGGAAAATAAATCAAGGAGCAAGCAATGTGAATGACAGACCAGTACCACAGAGTTTAAATGAAAAGCTAACAAAGTCAAAGTGAGGACTGAGGATGTATCATAAATTATTAACAGAAACCTACCACATCTAACATGCTCTAGAAATTATTTCAGAAAAGATGGCACCCAAATTTGTTTTAAAGCACACACATGAAGCTTTTAATCAATGATTTGAACACTGAAAATGACATTCATTGTGTTAGCTCGCTTCTTTACTCATTGAAACCCCTTTGTGGGATGCAATTTTTAGTTATTTTGAAGCCCCACCCTGGCTTTTGCCAAAGATCCTAAGTATAGCCGGGCCATAAATATGGCCTATTGGGGTTTCTGGGACCTCTCCATGGGTGATCCTTATCCGCATTTTGGCACTTTGTGTAACCGGGTGTTTATTGCTTGTGTGATGTCCTGGTGGGGTACAACTTACCCACCTACCTACCTACATAATTTCTTTGTACATATGCCATTATATCCTTTCAAACAAATTATTCTTGCTCAATTCAAGCTGGCTGTTATTTCCTTTCTTATATGTTTTGTTCTGTGTAACGGAAATTCACATTTAAATATCAATGACATACATTTGCAGCATACAAACTAGCATAAGCAATCTGTACAAGACACATGGCAAGCTATTTGGACTTCACAGTGAACTAAAGTGAGGACTAACTAACCAAAAAAGCACCATAATAAAACAGAAAAGACTAGAGTGTACAGCCAACCTGGGCCTGCCCCTATTAAACTGTCGCCGACTGATAAACTCAAAGTCATCTATCATCCAAAAGGAGCCATAGTCGTCTTCAAACCTTACAAAACATCGATGCAAGGACAAGTTTGTGCGAATGGCATTCTGGGGAGATTTTAAGTGTTCATTATGTCAGAATATAAAGCTAACAACAGAAAAATTATTATTTAATATGAAAACTTCAATTCTGTTACTTTGAAAACACCAGCTAGGCTTTTTGATAAATTTGGAAAAATGTCTCCATTGTGAAGGTGAACTATACTGACAATTAAACCTATGCTTGCGACAGGAACTTTTTAAGTCAAAAATTCAAGTCTTAGATTTGTCGCCATTTATTAACCAGTGAGAAGTAACTACATATTAAGCATATTCTTGTGTGTCTAAAAAATAAAAACATGGACAGCACTTCCTCACAGAGCCAAAAGTGTTCTTAAAAAATTATATTTGCAAGATAGACCCATGATAGGAAGTGAATACATTTATTACAGCATGCAGTTTAACATAATTTTTATCACACATTATTAATATGAATTTAACACACAGGCTAGAAGTGGTAGTTAGTAAGACATGAAAAAAATAAGCAAACAGTTAGGATTAGTATCCTTTACAATTTACACTTTATCAAGTCCAAGTACACTTAAGCATGCAACAAAGAACACATTTAAGCATTAAACTTTGAAAATACGCCTATACATATGTGCACACAATGTAGGAATAGGTGAATGCACTGAACTATATAAAACTATGTATCACTTACTAAGAACAGGCAAACAAATGCACATAAAACATGCCAGAATGACATGTTTCTAAAAGTTAACTACAGTGCCTGTTCCTGGAAATATTAGACATGCATGACATCAACATAACAGTGAAAGCATTATTAAGGATTCTGTGAAGCAAGCAAAAATAATCACCCTTATAGATTTTAAGCTTTTGTGAATAATCATACAGGGTCAGCCCAAACTACAAATGCATGCCATCGAGCCTGTAGTTTAAAACTATATATATATATATATATATATATATATATATATATATATATATATATATATATATATATATATATATATATATATATATATATATATACACACACACACACACACGTATATAGACAAGATAGTGAAAAACAATTTCCATATAAATAAACACACCAAAAAAACATGTCATGACAAATTACAATAATAAATATAAAGAATGGGAAAAACACATATACACATAAGAAAGTGCATTTTTAGATACCGATTTAAAGTGAAAATATTCAAAATATGCTATTCTAAAAATAAATATTCTTGGAAAATGTTTTAATTTTTATTTCTAAAGAGCCTTTCCAGGTAACTTATCCATAAGGCATGAAAGCTTAGAAAGTGTTTCAAACGGAGATATCATATTTAAAGCAAACCACTTCAGATTTGCAAGAATAATTATAAATAAAAATCTTACTGACGCTGAAATCACAATTTTGCAACAAAACTTTCCTTGAAAATAATGGTTACATTTTTCTTATTCTTTAAATTAATTTATATTGTCAAAAAAAAGTATTCTATTTAAAAAAACAAAATAATTGGCAAATAATCATTGACTGAAGTTTGAACTTTCCAACCTATACTATTGAAATTGTTTTCAATTAAATAAAAGTATGCAGAGGTGCAGTGAACAAAGCTGACATTAACATTACCCTTTTTATAAAAAGTAGAATTATTTCACCTACCCTGGGCCAGCACCCAGTTTTTGCGGCCGACGTTTGTAGAACTCTATCTCATCAACAGTCCACACAGCCCCTTTCACATTCTCCACTCTCATAAAACATTTGTGCAGGCTGAGGTTGTGGCGAACAGCATTCTACACCAAGGGGAACAAGACCATGAATGAGACAAGGACAAAACACAGACTTATTTATAAAAATTATATGACTATTCCATTATGCATGTCAACACATGAATATAAGTTTATTATAAAACCTTTTTATTTCTATCTTTTATTTATTTATGTGGGTTTAAGATAAGACTTTCTTTACTGCACTGGGATTGATCCTATATGGCTTAGTCTCTTTCCACAGAGTATATGGTTGCCCACTGGGAGCATCCGGCGTGATCACCACAGGTATTTTCCAAACACCAGCACTTGAAAACTAGAGAAAGGAGTTAGAAACCGAACCCAGAATATTCAGAAAACAATGCAAATGGTTTAACCAATTCACCACAGAAGGTTGTATGTTTATTAACACTTACGGAATAATCTTTTCTAAAAGATTATTGATTGTAGGTGCACTGATATCGTAGGCGCACTGACCAGCAGTGCTCTTAGCAAATAAAAAATATGCTTTTATCAGACAAAGTGAACTGAAATAGTTGATCTGTATCACCCACTCTATCTTCATCTTGCTGTGCCATTTATACATCACATGATGTATGCAGTCCACTTCATTTTATCTTATTTAACCTTTTTGATATCTTGGATGGAATCCAGTTATGTCCTTTTGACCTCTCTCATTCCCATTTATTATATGGTTTCTCTAGGATGTTCTCCCTTTCTCAGACCATTTGTTTCCACTTTCAGAGCATATCTGGTGATTCTCTGTCCACTTCTTCTCAGGACATGTTCAACAAAATATCTTCATTGCCTTTTAATTGTTAATAAGAGCAGTTTTTCACATGTATCTACTTTCAGTGCCTGTTTTGAATTCCACTTATTTAATGTTAATTAATTTTATCAGGAGTTTGTTTTCAAAAACATTTTACTTTCCCTCTGTCTTATTGGTTATACCCCACCTTTCAACGACATGTGTTAAAAACGAAATGTCGTTAGAAGTGAAAATACATAATTTGGTTTTCACACTACACATGTCCAGAATCTTAAAATAAAGTATATATGTGTGTGTGTGTGTGTGTGTGTGTGGATGTATACATATATATATATATATTACTGCTAATCTGTTCCGAATTATTATCTTCACGTGTTTCTCATCAATAATAGATTACAGGTGACTGATTTTCTAAATATCATACGAAACAGCTTTCAGTGTGTTTGCTATTTTTTCCAAAATGCTTTGTTTCAGTTTCATTTTAAAAAAGTATCTAGTTTAATTAATGTAAGTTTTACAATGGTAATTATGTCATCCATGCTGGACATTTCATTCAAATGATAAAGTGTCTGGCCTAATTCATAAACAATTTAGTGTACAAGAAAAAGAAAAAGCCAAATAACCTTTATGAAACCACAGTTTCAAAAAATTCTTTGTAAAATATGGCGTAAACTTATGATAATTTGCACTGTGCATTTATTATTGAACAATAGTAATTCAAGAAATAAGGCAAAATTAAAGCTGTATGGATAAATCAGTCAGGTTCAGTCTCCACAATAAAGGTTGGCGGCTTAGATTTTTCAAAACTCACTCATCTTGCCCTGGTTTTGCTTAACTGTTTACTATCCTAGACTGCTGTTTGTCTATCTCTCAAAGTTGTTCTCCCAGTTGTATCACTGTCCTTTTCTTGTACATCTACCTTCTACCTTTGTCCCCTCCCCTCTTTCAGTGTTTATGACTTGTTTAATGTGTCAGAAATATTCAACTTGCTTTTTTTTTAAAAGGTTCTTGTTTGTTTTATGTTTTTTAATTTCAACTTATTTAAAGTCTTTTTTGATCCAGCCTTTGGTGGGAACCAGGCGCAGTCTTGGGAAGTAAAGTTGGCTGCATGATGTTGACCACATCACACACCAAATGCTGATAGGTCAATAAAGTATAGGTCTAGCCCTATATGCCCAATGTGCCTAAAGGCGTGAAAAGGGTAATTAACTTTTTTTTTTTATAAATCCAGAAACCACGAGTTCTTAACCCTTTGGCTTGGTAGTGTGGATATTGCAACCCTTCGGCCTTGATTCCATGATGAATACCATAAATCTGGGAGAAAAGTGCCGTTTCTGCCTACCCATGGGCGTGAACCCAGACCACAAGGAGTTTGTCACCCGGTCATCGCCAAGTCATGTTTAGCCAACTACGCTAGCGAGCAGGGCATTTCCATGAAATACAACTGATTCTTCTGTGTATCTAAAACAATATCCTGGGCCTGCACCACTGGGTGGTGAACTGATGCATGACAAGGCAGATGTTGTCAAGGCCCTTTGGGAACAAGCAACGGAATCAGTAGGGGAAACAAGATTATTATGGCCTGGAGAGAATGAGGCACCTGGGTGTAACCAGAGGGTTTGGCAGACTCGCTACACTCAGAGGAAAGGCGAGACAGACCTATCAGATTGTGACCGGTACCATCAGTACTGGAACTCTGCGCTGGTTGCTGAAGATGAGGACCCAGCACGCATGTGCTGTGATGTCATTTCTTGACTTAACTAGCTAGCTAACATCCTGGGCCTTGATTCGATCCTCTGTGGCTTACTGCCAGGTTTCCATGTCCCAATAAAGTAAGACTGAATATATATATATATAACATTTGGCAATTATCATTTTAATGTGTCATTCTCAAGATGTGTATCTGTCAAAATAAAAATAAAAACAAAAACAGAACACTGGCCTTACAACTGAGGATGAAAGAAACTATTGTCTGATACTGATAGAACAAATAAAACATTTTTAGGTTTCCAGTGAGGACCTTTCTGTAATGCAAAACAAATTAATATAAATAATACAAGCCCAACAGCATATTGGCGAATAACAGAAATGATTTACCAAACACTATCCATCCTAGTTATAACCCTTGGGGTTAAACAGGATATCATTAGTGGAGCATTTCTATAGTGTTAAGCAGACACATCTCAGCTGGAGAGGGATGACAGAGTACAAAAGAAGCAGCAGTATACACAATGAAATAGTCATGAGAACAAATTACAATGACTCTACTACATGATTGTGTAAAGTGAGAACCCTCTTAGTAGTATTTCTGCTCTGACATAATACATTATGAGTAAACTGAATTTAAGATAGTAACAGGAGATCAAAGGGTTTGGTCATCTCGTTAGAATGCAAACAGAACAACTACAAACATAGGCACTAGACAAGAAAAGATCTATAAAAGTAAGAGGTCACCCTAGGAGAAGATGGAATTAGGAAATTAAAGGCTTCTACATTGACACAGAATGACAACAGCTATTGCTACCCATCAAGCAAAGCATCGCAAATTGTTTCTCCCCAACACACTTACGACAAATGTGGAAATTGATGTTGATGAACAGAAACATTTTATATAATAAGCAGGGGCTAGAATGCACGTGTACATACACATGCACGCATGTACAACATATGGTTGGTGGGGGGGGGGGGGGGGGGGGGGAGAGGGAGAAAGAGCTAAGCCTTTTTTTCGATGCTACATAATTCTAATAATTCACTGAAGGTGAATAGCACATAGTAATGTATGTAAAGAGCCCTTTTCCACACCTTTAGGCTATTGAGCATATAGACTAAATCTATATTTTATAGACCAGTCAGTACTTAGTGGGCAATGTGATCAACATCAAGCCGGCCCCCTTTTCTTTCCAGGACTGTACCTGGTACCCATTGGAGGCTGGGTTCCAGAACTCTATGTGGAGATATCCCCATGCGGATTCTGGAGAAAACAATGAATACACCTGCTGCCACCTAACAAACATTTTGTAGAAGACAACTAATTAGGGGTGTTATCTTCATAGTTGAACTGCATCTGCTTGACAGCTAAGAAGCAACAGTCTGCATAAAAATCAGCTTGAGAGAAGAGGGATGACCATCAGTATCTCCAAAACTAAAACGATGGTGATCTCAAGAGAGGAGAAGAAACACCAAATCATGATGGGACAGTATGCACTGGAGCAAGTCAACCAGTTCAAATACACTGTGGTTTTAACAGACCGACATGGAGGCATTAAGACAGAGCTAGCTAATGTAAAAGCAGCTGTTGGGAGACTTTTCCATGCCATAAATCCAGTGGTTTTTTTTAGCAAAAGAGAAAGTGGCACGAGGAAAAAAATGGCTGTTTACCGCTCTACCTATGTGCCAGTCCTGACATGTGTGAGTGTCATGGGCAATGACAACAGCTCACAGAAGTCAGCCTCAGACCTAAGATATAAGATATCTGAGAAAGGTGGTCCAAGTGACAAGAAGTGGCAAAGTTTGCAACAATTCGTCAAGATCTTGAAACCCAGCCATTACAAACTAGAGTGGATCAGTCACAGTTACAATGATTTGGACATATATGCAGAATGGGAGAAAATCAGTCACGATGGCAGACATGGGAGGCTAAGAACCAGGGATCCAGACCTCCAAGGCTCTCCAGGGTCAGCTGGGAAATCAGCATCTGACAGTCTCGGATTTACAGAGGACTGGAATGGAACAAAGCCAAAAGAAGTCTGGGGACCTCTCTAGCAAACCTTTATACCCCAAGGTAGAAGAGGAGCGACTAAGTAAGTAGGTAAGTAAGTGTTTGATAAATAAAACACACAGAACCAAGGTTTAAAAAATTCTGAAGAGACAATATCAGAAATTATACTTAGTGAGCGATGTGGTCAACATCAAGCCGGCCCCCTTTTCTTTCCAGGACTGTACCTGGTACCCATTTAAGGCTGGGTTCCAGAACTCTATGTGGAGATATCCCCATGTGGATTCTGGAGAAAACAATTAATACACCTGCTGCCACCTAACAAACATTTTGTAGAAGACAACTAATTGTTATCTTCAAAGCTGGACTGCATCTGCTTGACAGCTGAGAAATAACAGTCTGCATAAAAATCAGCTAGATCTGTAAAACAGATGTGCAAGTAAAACAAAAATTCAGGGACAAGCCTAAAAGTCCAGAAATGGATGAACAACCAGAACCTTCTACCCAAGTTTACAGCCACTGAACACTAATATTAAGAAGTTTACAGAGATATATTATTACCATAATACACATGATGAAGATGGTGCTGATGGGGAGAATAATATGGATGCTACATGCTTGACTTCTGTGCAGTTTAACAGTTTATTCTGTTGTATAGAATATGTGAACATTTCCTTTATAGATATGTTCTTTACACCAGCATGCTTGTCTGATATGTAAATAATTCCTTCATAAATATTCTCTTTATACATGCACGCTTGTCTGTAGTGGCAGAAACTGTACATTTGTATTTATGTTTTATTTATTATTTATTTAAAAAAAAAATTAAACAACCTTGAAAAACACAAATCAACTATCATGCAAAATGAGTACTACATACAAGAGTAGATAACCACGTTAACAATCTTTCAAAGTTATCTACAACAATCTACAGATGTTTACTTCTGCATAACTCTTGTTTATCAAAGTGATTATGTAGACATAGCTAGACTAAATTGTTTTCATATTTATCAAGCTGCTGAATTTTAAATTTAAAAAAAAAATCCATTAATGGTTTTAGTAAATATCAAACGATGAATTATTCTTTGAAAACTTTCTGTTTTGATAATTTTTATTGTTTTTCATTTTAGAAACATAGAATGGGGGTTGAGGAGCCTGAATGTTGTTTTGAGGTCGAAGTGAGTGCTGCTTAGAAACAAAAAGTTTATTTACAAAACACCTGATTATGATATGTTCTTCTCCTTCTTCTTGCATTCACCATCTATAACTCCAGCAGAAAGTTCTGGTTGTTCATCCACTGCTAGACTTTGGTCTTTTCCAAAACTTGATTTTTACATGCACTAATTTTTACTAAACTGGCTATTAGTATGCAGACTGTTGGTTCCTAGCTTCTCAAGCAATTGCATTCTGACTTCAAAGAATAAAACCTAAATTAATTGCCTCTTATGACATCTTTGTTAAGGGAAAAGTGGGTCTATTCCCCCCCCCCCCCCCCCCACCCCCTAAAAAAAAAGGGTATTGAACCCATATTTATAAGTAAACTGATGGAAGAAAAAGGACAACTGACATTTTCCTATCATCATCATCCTCTAGTGTCACCTCCAAAAGTTTCATAAGGGGTTTTCATTGTACATTCAAGTTGTAGGTTTCCTAAACAAACATTGTTGTTTTCTGTACATTTATATATTTGACAACATCTTGTGTGGGTTTTTTTTGCCTTCAGCTTTTCTTTCCTCACTGAATATTGTGTCATTTGATTTGAACAAAGTTTCTTTATTTTTCTGTTTTAAAAAAATTTCCTTCAGCAGTAATCATTTTAAGTTTAGGTGCTCTAGAACTGTCTTATCAAAGAAATTTCTCCTGAAGACCATCATTTCAAGTTTTGTGTTTAATTTTTTTTATAAATATCTCTTCCATTTTACACAGTACTTGTCACTACGCATTGTGTTATTTATTTTCAAACATAATATTCTCCATTTTAATCTTTGCGACTGATAATAATTATACACAAGGTTAACATCTCCATGTAGACAGAGGTGACATATATTTATTATTTCTTCATAGTAAATAGTTAAAATGAACAGAATTAAGTAAATTGAAGCTATAAATTAAAAAAGAATAAAATTTGGTCTCCTCCTAATATAGAAACAATTTCAGAAATTGGTTTAAAAATACTGTAACTGATTACACACACACACACATATATATATATATATATATATATATATATATATATATATATATATATATATATATATATATATATATATATATATATCCCTAACTCGTATTTCAGCCTAAATGGGAAACACGTTCTTCTGAACATAGAAAATTCAAATACAAAATTGAATAAGAGTTATGCATTAGTAGACAACTTGCCTGCAGTGTTTATTTAGTCTCTGTGAAGAAATGTGTCCGTTATAAAATATTTACTGTAAGATTAGTATAGGCTCCATCTTAACACATTTTTATCTAAGGTAAACATAAGGTAAACCAAAGCAATACATAATTTTATTCATAAAGCATCATCATCCTGAACTGCAGCAGATAATAGTAAGAGCTTTATACTAATATATCCATTATCTCTAACTTAGGTATGAAGATAAACTTAGCCTACGTCTTTGAAGTACAATAAACAGAGACGTGGAAGTTTGTGTACTTACTTTCCAGGTAGCCTCATTGCGTCTGAAATATGCAAACGTGTTCTGGAACCACTGATAGATTTCGTTAAGTGTCAACTGTCGGTGTGGAGACTCTATTATTGCCTGCACCAGATGCATTAGAAATAACTGAAATGCTTGTATTTCATTTTTGAGATATTTTTTTAGCTTTAATCTAATTTAACACCTATAGCTTTAATTTAATATCATACATATTTTATCTAGGGAGTAGCCGTAGCAGAACGACTAGACGCTCGCCTGCGGATCAGAAGGTCGTGGATTCGCTCCCTGGCGGAGCCGGACTTTTCTGAAAAATAACCTTGGCTCCCAGGTTGACTCAGCCTTGAGTGGGTACCGGGTGCAGTCCCGGGAAGTAAAGGCGGCTGGTATGATGCTGATCACATCACTAATCTTGTGCTGATTGGTCTTTAAAATATAGGTCTAGCCCTATATGCCATTTACACCTAAAGGCGTGAAAAAGGATCCTGGACTTTTTTTTTTTAACTTTACTTATATTTTATTTAATAGATGTTATTATTGCCTTGATTAGCCTGTAAAACTGAGTTTAACTATATGTCTGAAACACTGAAACACATGTCAAATGAATTCAAAAACTGGCTTGCATCTACTGGGGTTGGGTTTTTTCTTCAGTTTTCTCTACCAAGTTTAAGTTCGCTGTGTATCCTTAACAGGTTCGCCATAAAATTATACAGCACATTGACAACTATGAAACTCTTTTAACTACAGCAAAAATGCGAAAAATGCAAAGGTATAGACATGTAATAAGATCTAAGAGCCTCTCAAAAACAATACTGCAGGGCTCAGTAGAGGCAAAAGAGGAGAAGAGGCAGATCAAGAAAGACCTGGTTAAAGAACCTGATTGACTGGACAGGCCTCAGGCATGCAACCATGAAGTTCATCGCAACTGACTGCCAAAGGTGGAGAGAGCTGATCAGACAGTCAACAGAAACTGGTGACCCAACGACATGGAGTGTTACGGGATGATGATGATGATCTTCTAGAAAATGTTGCAGAATCAACCCTAGCATTTTGGCTAGTTTGATTTCACTAGGACATTTTACGTCATATAGTTTGCCATTGCTCCAGATTGGCCAGCTTTCAATACCACTGTCGAAACCAATGCAACACGGTCTGCTGCCAGGCTGCCAGCAGCTGGGATCAAACTCAGCAAGTTTGCAACGTCTAAGTCACATTCGCTGACTATCTGCATAAGAACTGTGTTGCAGAGCTACTCTTCCCCCCCCTTTAAGTTAAGAAACCAGACCACATGCAAAACCAGTACCGCAGGCATACATATGCAAAAAGGCATTTTAGAATGTCATTTTTGTTGTGATTCAGAGCAGAATATATGGACTAATTTAGATAATGGTCTAAGTCGGTCATGTTTCCTCCACTGGAAAAGAATCAATATCAAAGTATACCAGGCATGAAGGACGCCAAAACCTGGCCACTCAAGTGCCTGGGGCAAGGCTGGAATTGAACCCTCAATAATTTCCACAGGTGGAAAAGGGGGGGGGGGGTGGCTGAGCCCTTACCCCGCCCAGAAAATATGCAAAGAGGCTAAGTCTCCCCCTTCTCGGCCCCCCCCCCAATGTACGTATACATGCTCTTTTTAAAGTACTTGTTTAGAAATTTTATATTATTTCAAACATCATTTTAGTTATTTATTTGTCATTTATCACATGATGATAATAATAACAATACTCATTATTGTTGCACATTTAAATAAGGCTCAACACCCCTCCCCTCCCCTCCCCCCACACACAAACACACAATTAAACGGTTTTTCTTGGATGTCCACAGTCTCTCGGTCCATTAGTTTTCGCGTTTTAGTGCCGCTTTGGTGATTCTCTGTTCACTTTTCCAGAGCAATGAGGAGTTACGAACTGACATGTATTCAGGAAATTCCTATAAGCGCTCCGCCCCCATTTTCACCACAGACACTGTGCTATAATGATGTGCCCATGTATCGCTATCTTATCCGTCTTACAACTGTTGATACCAGAGTTATAGTCCACAAACAACAATTTATCCAATGATTACAAAGAAAACAAGTTTACCTGTCGTATCAAAGAGGCATAAGTAAATGGAGGACGAACATCTGTATTTTTATAAAATTCACGATTTCTGTGGATTTCTGAAATAATAATGCAAACAAACTGCATGTAACATTTAATAGGGACTATGAAAGGACATGGGATCTATAAATTCAATAAATGTATAAATAAGTAAATACGCAAATATGTGGGGGTATATGTATGTGTATGTATGTGCTTGCAACCCCATAAGTGCATGCGTAGTTATGTGCACATTATACTTTTTTCAAATTTATAGTTAGCTACTCAGTGTCCATAAGAGGTGGTGTGCTGCCCCGTCGTTAGACTGAGGTATTACAGCAGTCATTCACAGCACAAACACAGCTTCACATGGACCTCACACACTCACTGACAGAACAGGTAGATGATAGTGTAATGTGGTAAGGAAGAACTTCTGATGTGAAGCTTTGGGAGAGAACTAAACAAATTATTGTGAATCAAGAAATGGATAACAATTTATGGCGATAGAAAAGTATTTTCAGAGAAAACTGGATAATATAGTTTTACTAGAATGTCCCTGCAATGGGACCCTCAAGGTCAAAGATAAAAAATTTTAAAAACAAAAAAGACATCAGATATAAGAGACAGAAGAGTAAGGTGGGTATGACATGGCGTGAGCAAAGGATATGATGGCTTGCTGTATGTTGGTTGAGGGCTTATGCTGCGAGGGGATGATGGTGATGATATGTGTGTGTGAGTGTATGTTAATGACAGAGGAAGAGGAAGATAAAATGGGAGAGGGATACAGAGAAAGAAGAAGAAGAAGAAAAAGTGTAGATAATCATCATCACCGTCAAGTGCCTTGCCAGCTGGCATAGGCGTTCAAACACCTCCACAAATCGTGGTCTTCTGTGTTCTGTATCAATTCCGCTGATGATTTTTCTCTATGCCACTGTCTTAAGCGGTCCACCATCGCTTCTCTTGGTCTGCCTCTGCTGCAAGTGATCTTTCCAGTCATCACGATATTTTCCAGTGTTCTTTTTCTAATTATATGACCAAAGAACTTTGATTGTCCCCTTCTCATTGTTGTATATAATATTGTAGATAATACCGACCCCCCCCCCCCCCCAAATATAATAGTTTCTTTGTTCAGCTATTGATTATAACAATGTATTTAGAATAGGATGGATAACACAGAAATAATATTATACAAATGAAAAAAATAGATGGAAACAACACAATCTGTAAAAGGTAAACACCAAAAGAGTACACAACTAAATGACAGAATTGACGTTGTGATTACAAAACATCCATCCATCACACACACACACACACACACACACACGCGCGCACACGCACGCAAACGCACACACACACAGAGGCAACTTCATTGAGTGCCTTGCTGACTGACAGTCAAGTGTTTTCTCTTTACATTTTCTGGTTGAAAAAAAAAAGAAGACACTACGTCTCCCTGAGGTGGTAAAACATGCTTTTGAGAGACAAAAAGACAGTGATGCATGCACCTCTGTTCACTAAGAGCCCTATCAGTCCCCACTATATGCCCTATTCCCCTGCAGGCATGGAAAAGAATCCGTTACTTCACTATTCACCTATTAAATCCCACAGACTGTGTGCTTCTCTAGTGTATTTTTTATACTTCTTTGTAAACCAGTTCTCTATAATATGCCTCCTTGAAGTTTTCTTTGTTATATGCTTAATCGTGAAATGCTTCTTTGTAAAATGCTTTCTCATAATATGTATCTAGAGTAGTTTTTTTCTTTCTAAAATATACTTGTGTGTGTGTTAAAACAAAATAATATGCGCCTCAGAAGTACTCTTCTGTGTTATATTCTAATAATATGCATCTCTAAATTATGTTTCTCTGTAACATGTTTGTATGTAATATGCTTTTTTGTAATATACTTATTTTTAATATCCGTCCATCAAGTATTCTTCTCTGTAATATGCCTCTCTGAAAATTAGAATTACCTGCGTATCCTTTACAGGACGTTTCAGACCCAACCCCAACAGCCCCTGGCTGTTGTGTGGTTTTTCTAGGCAAATTTACGTGCAGTATTTTGCCATTTCTTTCTCGACTGTCAGCTTTCTTGATAACATTGTCGAAACCAACGCAAGACGCATGGCCCGCAGCTGGGATCGAAACCCAGCATTATGAAGCGTTCGCATCGACTTAGCCACAGAGCCGACTCTGAAAATTACATCTTTATAATACGCATCTCTATAATGTACTTCTATGAAATGTTCTCCATATCGTCTAAGATAATGGCAATTACCCTTTCAAAAATAAATGTAGTTGCTCTAGTTATTATTTTTTATTAGCCGAGGAAGACTTTTCAAACTTAGCGACATTTCTGTCCCTTCTCGTATTGTGATAAAGCTGATATCCCCCCCCCCCTTTTTTTTCCCATTAAATCTTGTCTGCATTTACCGTTAAATAAAAGGTAATAAATATGATGTCACTGCCTGTTGAAACTCAACCAGAACGAGAAGGAAGACGAACCAGCTTTCCAGTTAAACACAAATACAAATGACAAAATGAACGTTGCGACAACAGAGTCTTCATCAGCGTACAACAACACGAACATACCTGCTGAAATGGGAAGGTTGCATTTGTCTGAGACTCTCCTGCGAACAGGCCCGCTGCACTCACTGCCGCTACGGCTGCTACCACTGCTGCTGCAGCTGTCCCTCGTTGGAGTCTGGGGTAAGGATGAACAGGAACCGGAACCGTGGCTTCCAGGGGTGCTGACCAGCGGGGGAGGTCGATGTGATGGCATTGGCATGATGGGACTGGGGACCATCGAGACCGGGGGCAGAAACCCGGTGAACAATGCTGGGTTTAACAATGTATGGGGCTTGCCTAGTAGATGCGGCTTCAAAATAGGAATAATAAAATTAATTATTCCATATGTTAAAGAAATCAACAAAATGTTTATTTTGCCAAAATACATGCTTGTATAAACCAGTTGCAAAGCCTGATCGATTCGTATAAGCCTTAACAGGTAACGTTTACAACGCGTTATTTTCCTCCTCTTCGCATTGCTGTTAACAGCATGCGAACACAACTAGCATCTTAGTATTAGTAGCTGGTTGCTTTCACATATTACACTTTCTACATGACTGGCTTAAGCATGCAGCGAGCATTCTTTAAGCTATGTTTGAGATTTGAACCAGAAGCAGTGATTGTCAACGTTACCTGCAAGCCACGCCGTTGGTATACGCGAAATTGGTAATAAAGGGGTTTTGTTTATTAAAAAAAAAAATCCTTTTCAGCGCACAGCGGTATTTTTATAATTACTCCACTTTCTTTTCACCCATTACACGCAATACAATTCTTATCACAACTCTGCATCATCACCTTGTTCCAGATCTGTCTATTTGAGACTATGGCTCTTATGACCACTGGCACACTGGGGCTTAAATTATTGGTTATTATACGGCAACAGCACCTGAGATAACAGGTCCTCCCAGACTGTCCCAAATACAACATATCAAGGCAAAACTGTTGGCCAAGAGAAACATCGGTGCAAGTCAAACTTTATTCGCTGTGTGAATTAAAAAAAAAAAAAAAAACAACAACAGTGAAGTTCACACTAGAGACAACATTGCAGATATAGATAATCTATCTCAAGCAAACGAAAAAAAAGAAGAATACAGAAACAGCCCTGAAACCATCATTTAATTTTAAAAGAAAAAAAACAATTAAATAGTATAAAAGACGCAGGAAAAATAAAGTTGTAACACCCCCACCCACCCCCACACACATTCCCCTCACACACACACACACACACACACACACACACAAGATGTGACCCGATATATATGACACAAGCCACGACATCACACAACCGGAATTGGTAACAGTTTATGATTCTCCCTTATTTATTATATTCTCAAATATAAAGTGTTCTGAAAATATGATTTTATATTTTAAAATAAAGCAACAGAACATTCATTTTAGTTATACACAACAGCAATTTTGAATTTTCTAATAAAATCTCCAGCCATTAAAACGTCGTTTGCATTACAAAAATATTGGCTAATATTTTATAACCTCATCTGACACCCTGTTGCCATGGGGCATGCTGACATGTTGGCCAGCCCGTCATGTAGATACTTATGTAGATACCCATATATATATATATATAATGTCATTGTGCTCACCATCTTCTTTTTCGTTGATCTGATATCGCGTGACTTTAAAAAAAAAAAAAAAGAAATTTGAACATACGACCATCGAGCTCATAGGCAGGTGCTCCAGCATCCAATCAACATCATCCTCATGTGGCAGGTTCTATATAGAACATCGCTCTTCACAGCACGCCTGCAAATCTCTCTGTCTCTAATCTATTCTCCAGCTTTATGTGCTTTCACAGCCAATGCATCTTCAATGTCTTGCCTACATTTCTAAGATGCTGACATGATAGTTTGCATAAAGACAATCTACATTTAGTTGAAGGTACCGTCTTTTCGGTTAAATAATGACTTGCCGCAGTGTGGTAAGTCCACAATGACAAGAAACGATTGTGTACTGTCAGTGCCGTGCGGTAGATTTTCTCAGTATGATGCAAGTTTTCGAAACGCCGCCCCATAGATGTATAAACTGTATTTTGATTTCTCTGCTTAAATCGCCTCCCTAGGGTGACTGACTGACTGAAATTCTACCCCACCAGGACATCACACAAGCGATAAAAACCCGATGACACAATGTGCCACCATGCGGGTGAGGATCACCGTGGAGAGGTCCCAGAAACCGCGTTCAGCCCCTAGGCCATATTTATAGCCAGGCTATATTGCGGCCCCTGACAAGAGCCAGAGTAGGGCTTCAAATGATGAAAAATTTCATCCTAAAAAGGACGAAAATTTGTAGGACTAATGCCTCCTTAGGGTGCCGCCTGATGTGGTTAACTCTCTAGCATAGCACGGCACGGTCCTGGGTACCATTTGCAGAAAAAAGGTGCCCGTATTCACCCCCCCCCCCCCCAAAAAAAAAAGGTGCTGGTAAAACACCAGAAAGTGTCTGTTTCAGTAGGGATGAAATACACACACACACACACACAAAGGTGCCGGTATTGTGGTGTGTACCGCTTCGCCAGAATTAAAGCCCTAAATTAAAACATTAAGAAAGTTAAGGGACTTCGTGTCACCAAGAACCACAACTGCTCAACCAGTTTCGTCCTTTTTAGGACGAAATTTTTTGTTATTTGAAGCCCCACCCTGGCTTTTGCCAGGGGCCGCAATATAGGCAGGCCATAAATATGGCCAAATGTCTGAACGCGGTTTCTGGGGCCTCTCCACGGCGATCCTCATCCGCATGGTGGCACTTTGTGTCATCGGGTGTTTATCGCTTGTGTGATGTCCTGGTGGGGTAGAAAGTCAGTCAGTCAGTCAACACAATACAAATGACTTACTATAAAATGTTCCGGTTTCATGTCATGTTGAGTCTTGGGTGACAACTGAGATGATAAAGATGATATTGACGATGAATGCTGGCCTAGCATCGAGGCAGACGTTGATTGTGACTGGGATATCGGCGGACCTGGTGGGGGATGCTGAGACTGTTGGTGCAGATGATCTGTCATTGCTTTTAAAACTTTCTTTTGGAATGCAAGCTGTGGGAGGAAATGTTACTTTATATTTACCTTTGAATCATACTTTCTTTCTTATTGGTAGTTTTAAAAGCAAATATTCTCTATATGTATTTATGTACAATGCCACGTAGCAGATTATTTGTAGAACGTCGATATTATCAAAGCACACTAAAAATCTTATTAGTTTCTGACGTAGCTGTTTCTTATACACAGAAGAAGGGAATAATCAAATCAATCAGAAAGCCATCAAAACTTGCACAAGACGATTATCATATAATGGACAGACAAGAGAAAGTCATATAATACGCAAACAATCATCGCCATCATCATCAACCCGTCACACTACCTGTCATTGAGTCACCAGTTTCTGTTGACTGTCTGATCAGCTCTCTCACCCTTTGGCGGTCAGTTGCTATGGACTTCATGGTTGCATGCCTTAGGCCTGTCCAGTCAGTCAGGTTCTGTAACCAGGCTTTTCTTGGTCTGCCTCTTCTCCTCTTTCGCTCTAATGAGTATTATTTTTGAGAGGCCGTTGGATCTTATTACATGTCCAGACCATTGTATTTTTCGCATTTTGACCCTTTTGAGTGTAGTTAAAAGAGAGAGGTTCATAGTTGCCAATGTGCTGTATAAATTTATGGCGAACTTCGTTTGTAATGTGGTCTCTGTAGGATATGCCAAGAATTTATCTGAGACTTCGCATTGCTAATGCTTGTAACTTTCTTTCAAGTTCAGCTGTTAAAATGCTCGTTTCACAGCCATATGTAAATTTTCTATAGCTAGTGCTCTTAGCAATCGAATCTTAGTTTTGCATGAAATGTTTTTGGATCTCCATAATGTTTGCTGCTTGGCAAGGACTGAACTTGTCTGGGCAATTCTAGACATGATTTCTGGTCTTGACCCCAAGTCACTTAAAATGGATCCTAAATATCTTAAATGAGTCACTTGTTCTAATTTGTGACGTAGATTGTTGAAATTCTGCCAGCTGGATTGTTAGTCAATATTTTTATTCGTTTATTTCAACGTCATAATTGGTTGATGTTTCATTACAAGCTCGACTAGCTCTTGTTCTTCTCTGGCCAAACCATCGATGTCATCTGCAAACCTTAAGTTTGTTATAGTTCGACCTCCTATACTAACTGTTCTTTAATGTTGTTCTAGGGCATCAGTCATAATTCTTTCTAAAAAGATGTTAAACAGTGTTGGAGAGAGGAAGCAGCCCTGACGGACTCCTATTGGTGTTCGGCTTCGTATTTGTTCGCTCAGCGTGACAGCACTGCTGGCCTTGGCATAGAGCTGTTTTATACTATGTGTGAGGGTTTTACCCATATTGTACTTGTTCATTGTGTCCCAGAGTGCTGCATGCTTGTTCAAAGGCCTTTTTAAAATCAATGAACACATGAGATAGATGTTCTTTTTTTTGGTGCTGGTGGTATTGCTCAGATCTTTTCTGCATGTGGCTTTAATCTGTTTAGGAATATCTTGCATGACTTTACTGGGATGACTGATATAGTCCTATAATTTTGACATTGCTGTAAATCCCCCTTTTGGGATGGCAATGATGAGTGTTTTGGTCCAAAGAGATGGCCATTTAAATTATATTACAATATTATTATTCAGAAACTTTAAAAAAAAGTGTGCACACGGTAGTGGAAAGGTGTGTGTGTGAGTGCGTGCGTGCGTGTATGTATGTGTCCATGTGTGTATGTGTCTGTATGTGTGTGTTAGAGGAGGAAAAAAGGGCGGGAGTTAGTCCCTTACATTTTTTTTATGGATTAGGGCGGGGGACGTTCAAGATACCAAAGCACCCTGTGCAGGTGGCTACTGAGGAAACAACATTTTTCTAGTATTCTATTCTCTGCCGAGATGGAACAAGTAAGAGAACACGTCTTAGGGTGTATACAATTCAAAGGTATGAACCAGTCACACACTGTGCGGTGTTTATGACTCAAAGGAATGAAATAATGACACACGTTTGGTATTTATGACTCGAAGAATGAACTAATCACACAACGTGCGATGTTTAGGACTCAAAGGAATAGACAAAGCACACGACGTGCGGTGTTTAGGCCTCAAAAGAATGAACTAATCACACAACGTGCGATGTTTAGGAATCAAAAGAATGAACTAATCACACATCGTGCGATGTTCAGGAATCAAAGGAATGGACAAATCACACAACGTGCGGTTTTTAGGACTCAAAAGAATGAACTAATCACACAACGTGCGATGTTTAGGAATCAAAGGAGTGGACAAATCACACAACATACGGTGTTTAGGACTCAAAGAAAGGAACTAATCACACAACCTAAAGTGTGTAGGACTCAAAGAAATTAACTAATCACATAGCACGGTGTTCAGGACTTAAAGGAAAAGACAAATCACACAACATGCTTGTTTAGGACTCAGTGAGCTAATGAATATTTCTTAGGGTTAACCCGAATGTTCCATCTTGATGGCCGAAGCGTAAATAATAAAAAAACAAAAACGAATAGACTTTAAACGGGGAGTTTCGCAGTCTAGACCCTCTCTGTGAAATGCTAATTGTCGACATGGATATAATAAAACTTGAGCTCTACGTCAAGCACAAGGAAGCTGCCTAAAAAAACAGACGGCCTTGTGAAATGTTGATTGTCGCTATTGTTAATGAAGCTTTGTTACGTGTAAATCAGGGTTACGTAATTTTATGTTAGCATGACCTGAATACCGTATCATTGGTAACGCGTTTGGATTACTTCCATCGGATACTGTAGTGTTTGTTTGTTTGTTTTAGTATCCAGAAGCCATGAGTTGTTATCCCTTAGGCTCGGTATTATGGATATCGCAACCTTTCGGCCTTGATTCCATTGTAAATACCGTAAATCTGAGAGAAATGTGGCTTTTCTGCCTACCCCCGGGAGTGAACCCGGACCACAAGGAGTTCGTCACTCGGTCATCGCGCAATCCGGTTTAGCCAACTACGTTAGAGAGCCAGGCAGATACTGTAGTGAAGTAAATGTTAGCTGTTGTAATCGTTGCTTAACTATTTCAACAGCAGAACACGGGAATTTGTGGCTGAGCGTATATAGCGTCTAAGGTCTATATATATAGAGCTGGGTTCAAATCCATAGCCACTGGTTAGACCATGACAATTTTTCTGCTGGGAAAAATGTTGGGGGAGCGAGGGTATAATTTGCTGAAAGGCATGTTTTAGTAGTTATGTGTATGACTCTGGTATTTTATTTTTAATGCACCTAAACAAAGGAAATTCCTCAGTTCCCGGGAAAGTCCAGTATTCTAGGGTACTTATGGGTTGGGATTAGGGTTAGAGTTATGGTTAGTTGGTGCCCCTGACGCGGTTGAGGCTGACAAAGATCCTAAACTTAATCCAAACCCCAACCTATAACACCCCTAAAATGTTGGACTTTCCCTAGAAATCAGGGGATGTCTTTATATAATAAAAACAAAGCAGGTGATAGTATATATCTTTGTCTAACACTACACTTCAGGCTCTGAAATGTTTGAAATGTTTGGTTACTCTTACAGCTGCTGTTTACTGCCAAATATATGTTCTTTATTATTCGTAGATCTTTTCGATAATTTTTTTTTTTTTTAATTTTTCAAAAATTGTGATTATTTTTTCAAGTTTCACGCAGTCAAATCCTTCTTGCAGGCAGTGAAATATTAGTACAGATCAATTGTTACTAGCTCTTTCCGACAGAGCTTTGAAGATTTTTATTGGTTTTGTTTATGGCAATATATATATATATATATGATACAGTTTGTACCTGTTCATTCTACAAGTCCACATTGTTCTTCACTAATGGCTGGTTTAATCTTGTTTCTAATTCTTGTCGTAATTATTCTCAGTAACATCTTTGTCACATGACTGTTTGCGCGACGGTCTTCACTGACTTTTACGACAGTGTAACTGACTTCTTCTTCTTCTTCTTCTTCTTCTTCTTCTTCTTCTTCTTCTTCTTCTTCTTCTTCTCTTCTTCTTCTTCTTCTTCTTCTTCTTCTTCTTCTTCTTCTTCTTCTTCTTCTTCTTCTTCTTCTTCTTCTTTATTTTTTCTTATCCTCTCCACAATTTTCTTCTTTATTGTCTTAGACTTTCTTTGTTTTTGACGCAAATGGATTGTCCGTTTAAGCAGACCAACAAAAACTGACCTGTTCGACTAACATCTTTTCAGCTTAGCTATACGTTATCGTGAAACTAAATAACCATCATCATCATCCATTTGAATTGGCAAATTTCAACTGCTACCTATGGAGTTAGCCTCTCCTAGATAACATTAGTTATAATTGTGGCTCCTGTTCAAGCTCTTTTTTCGATGTGCGTTTCTTAGTGTTGTAGCCCCAAGTCTGCCGAGTTAGGTTTCCCGCGTGTTGTCTGTAGGGCCGTCATCTTAGTGCTGACTGGTTAGTTTAGTGCTCTTTATGTTGCCGGATTATATTATCTCTGCAATTGGTTGCTGTCCTCTGTTTCATTTTCATAATGTATCTGCTATTGTGGTCGCTCTGTTGAAATAAGTCATGTGGTTTGTTCCATCGTGTGATATGTCGGTGGTTTCCACTACACGGCTTTTACGAGAAGAATCTCAGCTGTTGTCTCGATCTTGCTCTGGTAGTGGCAGTGTTCTCTGTATGCCGTCTTCATCCACGTCTCCATATGAGATATTCCATGCCGTCATCCTAATCTGGCTTGGTAAGATTTCCTCTGTGCTAGGTGGATTCTTGTATTCTTCTGTTAGATTAATGCTTCTTTGTAGAACCTGTAAGCCAACAGTCGACCTTGTTCTGTGTGCCATTTATCCAGAGTTTGTCTTCATCGCTTCTGCAGTTCTTTCATAGTTTTCTTGGGAACCGTTGCTCTGCCCAAAAACAACTAAAGTGTTTGCCTTGAATTTAGAACGCAAACGTTGTTGACAGCGTTGACAGATGTAAAGAAGCGACACCAACTGGTGGATGCGCTTAAAATACACAAGCAGTTTTTGGCATTAGATAATAAT